CTCTCTCCGCGTCACACTCCCCCCTCCCCCCTCCCCTTCGACTTCTCACACAGCCGCACCCTCCCTCCTCCATAACCCCCGCCACCGTGGACCACCGGTGCCAAATTGACCGGCCCGACACCGCCTTCGAACCCCAGCCAACCTCTGCCGCCGTCAACCACGAAGCCCGCCGGAACCACCGCGAAAACAGCTGGTTTTCGTTCAAAATTTCCAGCCGTCGTTCTCCCTCCTCCGGCCACCATTTCTGGCAAACAAGGTATGGATTTTCATCTACTTTTCGAGCTCTAGCTGATGGTTGGGTAGGATTGGGACGATTTCTAGCCTAGGTAGATCAAATCACGATCCAAATTTTGGCCAGTGGTAGATCAATCGATGTCCTAAACCTGTGGTAGGAATCTTGGCTCTCGATTTTGAAGTTTTCTGGCCGCCAGTATCGCTTAGGATACGTGGGCACTGTAGTAGAGGGACATTGTGTCCCGATGTGATCCTCGTGTTGTCAAGAGCGCATAGGTGTGCTTAGATTTCAATTCGGATGTCATTTGAAGCGTGAACGGATTTTGCCTATTATGCGTTATCCGGGTTCGATAGGTTTGAACCGTTGGATCGTCTCCAATTTAATATATGTTGATCTAGGCATTCCTAGGGTCTTATAGGATTTCGCGGATCAAGAATCGGAGGCCTGGATGTTCCGATTCAATAGTTTAAAGTTTGCGTTTTACAATAATTGTCCGATCGTGCGATCGTGAGCGATCCGACCGTTCGATTTGGACCAAACTTGCAGCACATGGTTTTTAAAATGTGTAGAACCTATAGGAACTCTTACATTGATAATTAGAGGTCGTGGACCCCACTGGTTCCCTGGTTGACCGATATGGAAATTTATCGCTTATCGAGTCTTGGGTCTTTTTAGACCGCTCTAATCATTGGAAGTACTTAAGTGGGTATAGGAATGGTCTTAAACTAAGTACACGCACTTTTAGAAATCGGGGGTCAGGGTTTTGGATTAAATAATCATGTTGAGCATTTTTATTAATTAAATATTTTTAATGGCATAAATAGGTACTCAAGCACCATCTGACCCACAGGAGGGACCCTCAAAGGGTCAAGCTAGCTCGGATGCTCAGTGAGTGGACTTTTGTTTTATAAATAATTTTATGCGATTAAGTTTCATTATTTGATCTTGAATAAGTTATTATTGACTATGGCTTTCCAAGCCTGATTAATTGGATTTAAATATTTTTATTTATATGTTGCTATGTTGAAAATGTAAAAAGGGCTTGGAAAGTAGGAAATGAGGCGATTTCCAGATTGAATGGTTTGATGAGACATAAAATTATTGTTTTACAAGAATGGCAACCGGATTTAAGGATGATTGAGAAATAGTTTTATAATTTTTAATCTTTTCTAGAAAATATATTTATTTTAAACCACCACAAGTACCCAATTGTTGCCTTCGGATAATATGTTGTCTTCGGATAAATTAGTTGCCTTCGGATAAGTTAGTGCGCTTGACAGTGGCCCCACGAGTCTTAGGGATATTTGGTATGCGGATCAGGTTGACTAAATGTCCCCTGAATTCCTACTTGGAATTCGGCTCGGGTTGACCTTGCGTTATCGAGGCCTGTGAGGATGTGTCACGCCACATGACACAATGAATTAACATAAATGAGGGAATTGAATATAAGCTCATGGAAATGATGGTTATATATATATAATGGCTACACTTAGGTGGAAAAGATTTATTTCTTTATAATGTTTTCTAAAAAGTCTCGATGTTTTAATTGAATGCATGACTAATAATATATATATATATATATATATATATATATATATATGCATGCTTTAGAATTCTTGTACGAATATATGAGAAGAATATAATGGGATTTTCGAAATGGTTTTTAACAATGGGGTTAGTATGTTCATATTCTACTTTCTAAAACTTTATTTTTGTCCACTCACATTTTTAAATGTTTTGCGCCCCCAAGCAGTAAGTGTGAACCTGAGCACCATCACCGAGCATTCGTCATCACTCTTCCTTCTCCTTCCACTATGTAGGATATGATTACGTTTCTGCACTTATTTTGTAAATAAATAGATTAGAATTGCTCTTAAAATTGCCCTAGGTTTTGTAAGGCCAGAGGCCATATAATTCTATGTTAGATAGCTTAATTGTAAACTTAAAGCATGCTGAACGTTGGGATCATATTAATAGTGTTTCATGCAGGTGTAAATTTTTGGGAAACGTGCATTTACAGGGGTGACTGTCAAATTTTCGGCAAAAGTCAAACCTTAAAGAACTTTTGTTTTGTTAGAAGGGCAATTTGGTCATTTGTGCCTAGCACCCGCCAGGTCTCGGACACGCACAGGGTTCGGCTCAAATTCCAAAGTGGAATTTGGTCGGGTCTTGTCATAGAGGATCAAGATCTTCAAGAATTAATTCTCCATTCTTTTCTTTCATCCCCATCATAACAAGCATGGAGTGTAACCAAGATTATCTTTTCCAACAAAAATGAATCACAACAAAATATATGTTGCAAATATATAGGTATATATATTATTTTATATAAAGCCGTAACATGATGGTAACTAACTTCGTGTATATATATATATATATACAATGTAACATATTGCATTATTTATATAAAACCGGAAAACATCTAAAAATATTATGTATGTTTAGATCCATGAGTCATAATGAACTTGTAAAATAAATTCACAAAATAAATATTACTGATATGGACGATAAACCGCAACACTTTAAATAATAAAGTAAATGTATGATAAAATAAATATGCTTGTATGGGCATTAATTTTACTCCATACTTTAAATAAAAATAAATGTGAAGATAAAACCACCACCGAATATATATATAGGGAGCTGATTTTCCCACTCCCATTTTCTCCACTTACACTCCCTTTTTCTTTTTAATACTTTTTAATCAATTTTATTCTTTTTTGTTCTTTCTCTTTCCTTTCCTACACTTACCCTACATTAATTTATTTTTACTTCACTTTTATATTATTTATTTTTCTTTATACTTAATTTTCCAACTTGCACTTTATCTTTAGTTTTTTTTTTCTTTAATCGAGTAATTAACACTATATATTTGTCTAGGCAAAATTACATGGTCCACCTACAAAAACTCATGCCCCAAGAATAAACCTTGCAGTCATAGTTTATTTTATTTTATTTTATTTATTTAAGGAAACAAATTTTAGGTGGCCACAAAGAAATGCATCTAACTACACATTTTTACATTTTCTTTTTCCATGTTCTTCTCCCTCTTCTCCCTCTCTTCTCCATCATAACCATTCCGAAAACAAATATTGAATGAAAAAAATTTATGAACTTGTAGACATGAATTGGAAAATGAAATTGAGTTTGAGACTATGAGTTTCAAATTCACATTAATGGAGTTCTCTTTGTTTCATATGAGATCATTTCATACCTTCATTTTGTTTGGGTACTTTCTCAGAAAGTATAAACAGACAGGATTGAAGAGAAAGCAAAAAAAATAAAAAGAATATTAAAGAATTCTTCTCATATAAATATTTTGGCATTCCAAGTCTGTAGGGGAATCCAAAAGCCTGGGTTTTGTTGTGTTACAGTGATGATGGAGAAATCCTAAAGCTTGGGTTTTGTTCACTCTCATTGATTAAGTACCCATATCAAAATATTAAGGCTTAAATGTCGAAATGGTCCCTGTGTTTTTCCTTATTGGCCAATTTAGTCCCCGTGTTATTAATTTGGCCAATTTAGTCCTTGTGTTTGTATTTGTTAACAAATTTGATCCTTTCCGTCAAAATTATGCTAAAATGATTCAAAACCCACACAACCTCAACCTCCAATGGTCTTGATTCCTATAGGAAAAAAAAAAAGGTTCTTAGTCGAATTGATGCCTGCTCTTTTCTTGCTGCCATTTTTCTTCTCAAGGATCAATTTTTCTTCTTATTCGAATAGATTATAATCAATTACAGTTTTTTTAATTAATTTTAAATATTTTATATTTTTAAGGGAATAGACCACATTGACTAATATATACAAACACAAGGATCAAATTGGCCAAATTGAAAATACATGGACTAAATTGGCCTATGAGATAAAACACAGGGACCATTTTAACATTTAAGCCAAATATTAATGTAGGGTGATGGTAGAATAGGAAAGAGAAAGAACAAAAAAGAACAAAATTGATTAAAAAAGTATTAAAAAGCAAAAGGAAGTGTAAGTGAAGAAAAGGGGAGTGGGAAATCAGCTCCCTATATATAAGTACATTATATTACCATATATTTTAACATATATATATATTATTTTATATCAAATTAAATTAAATTAAATTTTCATATCAATATAATTATATTGAGATTCCTGCACATTGGTTATTGGTGATCTAAAACATCATAAATTTAAATTTCTTTGATAGCATCCATATGCATTCTTGTCATCAACTTTGGAGGCATTAGCCACATAAACTTCATAAGATATCATATATGGATGTTAATGAAACAAATGAATTGAAATACAACAAAAATTATAAAGGAAGAGGGATATCAAGATTGAAACTTACAAGAACCTCGGTTGGTGAGAGACTCATGCTGATAACGTGTTATAAAACTAATGAAATTATGGAGAGAATTTAGAGGAAGAGAAACAATAATTATCAAGAGCTCAACCTTAAGCTTCTTCTCTTCTATTCTTGTGTATTTTTCATTCATTTTTTATGTCTATTTATAGGCATAAGAAATACATAATTTACTACCATAAGTGGTCATATACATCATTGGTGAGTCATAAGGTAGGTTACAATCACATCTTGGGGGTTACAAATATAGTGGTAGAAATTGTGGGTAAAAGAGATATGGTGGGCATCCATAATAATTATTATGGAATTGTGGGTAAAAGAGATATGATTTACAATTTCATATCTCTTTTACCCACAATTCCTATTTGTACCCCCCATGATGTGATTGTAACCTACCTTATGACTCACCAATGATGTATATGACCACTTATGGTAATAAACTATGTATTTCTTATGCTTATAAATAGGCACCAAAGATGAATGAAAAACACAGAAGAGAAAAGCTTGAGGTTGAGCTCTTGATAATTATTGTTTCACTTCTTTCTTTCTAACAGTCAGCATCTCACTTTCTCTAGTAGACCACATCTCCACCACTGCTTCAAATCCCTGGTAAGTATCTCTTTGGTAGAAGTATGGCTTTCTTTCTATAGTGATTTCATGAGAGATGGAGAATGAGACGGTGGTAGTGTTTATCTGGCTTGTGTTTTCTTTAACCTTTTCTTCTCTTGTTTGTGACAGAAACAGTGTGGGTTTGTCACTAGTTTTGATCGGTTGGTATTTTAGTTTGGTGGTGAAGTTCAAGAACTCTCTTGTTTGTGATAAAAAGACTGAAACAAGGGGATTTGATCGGAGTACTCAGCTGGTATTTGGGAGATATTCATGCTGATAACGTGTTACAAAACTAGGAAAATTTAGAGAGAATTTAGAGGAAGAGAATAACCATAGAATTGCTCTTCTAAAGCTTATCTTTTCATTCTCTTAATGCCTTGTATTTATAGGTATAGGAAATACACTATTCACCACTATTTTACAAACATACTGTGGGGTGAGTCATATATTAGGTATGGTGGGGTGAGTCATGTATTAGGTATTAGGTATTATGGTGACATCCACTACAACAGAAACAGAACGTACAAGGAAAAAACAGATTACCCATTTCTTGGTAAACAGTACTAATCGTATTTACTCTGGGCTTTCTTTGGTAAACAGTATGAATCTTATTTACTCTCCCTTTTTTTTTTTTTTTTTTAATCTCCAAATATCATTGTAAGTTGTAACAATACAAACCAAGCAGACAACCAAAGCCATCCACAGAAGCTCAAACTAACTTGAGAAGTCGTCTGTCATAATCTATAAGCAGTCTAAAATCTAACTGCCGTTACCGTCAGTTACTTTGACTGAAAGAATAAATTGGTTGCACTAGCGTCTATGGTCTACCATCTCCTAAAGGCTAAAACCAAACTAGTTCTCTTCTGTCAACTCAATTTCAATTGCAAATTCATTAATCATTGTTAGTCTTCGGCTAAATGAACTAATATCAAACCATATCACCCCGCCTCATACATGATGGAAAATGCAGGAGCTTCTACAATCAAATCTAAACGTCGCCGGCCTCGGGTGTTGCAACTGTCATACGCTTTACATGTTAGAAACAGAACTCTTATAAAGAAAATTAGAAACCTGCAAGGTGGCAAAAATTACACATGAGAATCTACAACAACAAATGTCCTACCTTTTAAAATGAAAGCAGGCGGAAATTCTTTTCTATTTTTTTTTTAATTCTTGTATTGAAGATAGTTATGTTTAAGGCATGAGTTATACCACTTCGGCTTCCTGTCGGTTCATTGCTCTTTCTGATGGTTCTTGATATACATGGCTTCGCTGCCACAACATCACATAGGAAAGCACTTTGCCTTGCGACGCATTTCCTATGAAATTTTACTTCAATGTCGTTGAAAATCTTGTGTTGAAGATGCTTCAACCCATTGAAGTACCCATCTTGAAATGCCAAAAGTATTCAATTGCATGTGATCTGCAATTGTAGTTCATTGGTAAGTCCATCACAAACTTTATATTACCAATGAAAAAAAAAATTCACTACTATCATTAACTCATCTAAACCATTACAATTTTATTTCTGCAAGAGACACTTAATAATAAAAGTATATGAAAATACAAGATGGACTAGAAGTGCATCAATAACTTTTGTTTTTGGTCGAAAAGTGCATCAATAACTAATTTGACAACCTCAAACCCATAAACATTATGCACTCAAGAGTCAATATAATATCCCCTCCCCAAAGGAAAACAAAACAAAACAAAACGATCACAGTTACACTAGAAGGGGCAACTTAAAAATGGTTTGTCAAAGAAAGCCCAAAAAGAAGCTAGAAGTTTAATCCTATCACCAAGTAACTCCCTCCTCTAGCACTCAAAGACCTTCATAAGGGTAGGGAGGTTAAGGGCACTCTTGAGATATCAATGTCATACTGATAGCATCAAGCAAACTCAATCAATCACAATTTAATACCAGACTACTGAGCTCAAAGTGACATTAGATTTACAAGAGACAATAGATATTCGTTTTACGGTTGCTATTGCATCAACAAACCTGGCACAATTATTACGGCCAAAGTTTGCTATGCATATATGTACCTCACTTAAAGGCGGGACTGTGTTAGGTACTTCCTCAGAAAAGTCAACTCCAGCATCATTTTGAGCTTCAGCCAACTGGGACACATCAGTTTTCACAACTACCAGATGGGGGCAGACAGGAGGGTTCCTTTGACGACACATGTGGCACCTAAATCCAATAAGCTTATCAATGTTCTCTGAACTCAGTCCAAAAGCCTCAGCATGGAACCACACTGCATGTAAAAAAGGAAATGAATAGATGTTAAAAAACGAAAGTAAATTGTGGAGGAATTAGATCAAGCTGTGGAGATTAATAGCATGGTTCATGAAATACTAAATCAGAGAGCCAATATTCAACTAAAACTTTCTGAACCAGCTCAAACCAAAATTACATTTGAAGTGCACTTACATAACTAATCATTACCTCTGCATATTTCACAAGAAATATAATTTAAAGCAGACGTATAACTTGCTTCACAACAAAGGGGGCATTTGAGTTGATCAAGAATGACAGGCGAACATCCAGAATGCGCAAGGAGTTTTTTATCCCTAAAAAGCATAGCACGTTCATCATTTGGCTTTCTAGACAACAGAAGACCATTAAGCCAGTAACTGTGACAAACTTGCGTTCTCTTCTTCTGCCAAGAAGTAACTCTCCTTGGTTTCTTACATGTCCTCGTATTGGACTTGCTTTTTTTCCCTTTCTTGCGTTTGCTACGCTTTTTGTTTTGCAATGGCAAGCATTTAACTTTCCTAGGAGAACGACGTAGAGGTACAGATGCCGGAATTTTTTTGCTATTTTTCAATCTTAGTTGCTGTCCTCCAGCTAAAGCTTTTTTGTTGTTTTTCAAACGCATCGATCTGCGTTCTGTTTGAGAATTCTTACATTTCTGTGACTGTACTTTCCCTCCTTTTGTTTCGACTCTCCTTCTTTTTGTGTCAATCTTTGCACACAACCCATTCTGGCATTGGTGGCATGTATATTTACACCGAGCAACAACGGCCCCAGCAGACTTCCTGGCATGCCTTTTGTGGAAAAAACCTGAAATTTATACCATAATAATCAGATATCAAGGTTAAGACAATGCAAATCAATGACAGGCATCAAGCATGAAGTTGTAGTTGCATCATTTGTCATTAAAAAGTAATAAAAAATGAAAATAGGTAATGCATCTTAATTACCTGTACACCAAAAGAAAGACAAGCAAATAACAAAGAGTACATAAAAGATTTGCTACTTCAATATAGTTGCCAAAATGCAACGACAAGAATGTGGAAAGAAATGTCCCACAGAAAAGAGCTCGAACTATAAATTTCAGAACATTAACAGGAGCATGATAGCCAAATAAAGTTGGATAACTAGCCATCAGAAGCCCTAGTGTTATAAGTAGTTTCCATTGTTGGTACATAGTTACTTTCAAGCACAAAAGGTAACTGCAGATCCCATAGGTGATACATAAATTAAGAGACTGGGATTATAAGAAATTTAAGTATGATGTTGATGATTTAATTAAATTACAAAATACTTTTTAAAAAAACCTTGCAAGACACAAAATACTAATACCATGTGTTACCCCGGCACAGAGAGAGAGAGACAGACAGACAGACAGACAGACAGAGACAGAGACAGAGACACAGAGAGAGAATACCACACCTTTGCAGTACTGGCAGCTCACAGCTTCCCTGTTATATTCAAAACAAAAATCTATAAGATGAAAATTAAAAAACAGAAGTAATACAACATTTAACATGTAACATGAAGAAAAAAATCTCAAATAATTGGTCTTTTGACAAGACTAGGAAAGCACAACAGCTGATCATCTAATCATATAGTAGAACCTACTCAAACATCACAACTGGTGTTCCAAATCCCTCCTAATTTTTCTTAACAGGGCCCTCAATGTTTTGACAGAACAACCTATGCAAGAGGCTAACGAAACTCCATTAGTCCAATGACTATTTCTATCCTCCAGATATCAGGAACAATAATTTATAGCACTAACTCCGGAAATTAGTAGTTTCAGAATGAAGGCATCCCCACACTTTAATGTGAAGAAAACAAGCTATCATGGGAAATACAAACAGTGACAAGCAGAACAAAAATATAAGATAACAACTACATGCAAGAGAACAAATTTGTACCACCTCATCAGGACATCTTTGTTGCAATGTCCACATTTATGAAACTCAGATCTTTCGGCTTTTGAAAACAAATACATAAATCCCTTTTTTTCCCTGGGCCTCTTTGCTACTCTACCGACCTCAATAACTTTACCAGACTTCACATCACTTGACTTGCGGGCAATTCTTCTCTCCTCAAAGTTTTTCAAAAGATGCAAAGGAAGATATGATTCATCCAGCCAATACTTTTTCCTCTCACTAGATGGTTCTTGAAGCACAGAACCATGTTTCTTGACAATGTCAGGAATAGCTCTTCTCTTGCCAAAATCAAGAAGATAGTTAACCACTTTCCCTTCAGAACACTTCCTGCGGACAATAACTTTCTTAAACAGCTTGATTGATTTTCTAGATTCTTTGTCCAACGTAGGGAGAGGGTGTGAATTCTCAATATCATTCCATCTAATGTTCAAATCAAGTTCTCTAACCTGAAACCATAGCAAATTTTTGACTGACAAAAAGTTAGATAGTTCCTATTCAGAAGCATGAATTATACGGGTGAGCAAACAATGTTTTTGGACTCAAAACCACTCAGGTTGGGGGACAATTAACACACAAAAAAACAAAATCATACCAGAGCAAGCAAGAAAAGGGCACTGAAAACACCTGAACATCACCATTTCAAGGAAACAGGTATGGAAAATGTACCTGCAAAGCAAGCTGTTCTGCACTAGTCGATGCCTCAACAGCAGCTCGCCAGGAAACGGATTTGCTTCTCTTCGCATATTCTGAATTTTCAGGATATAATATACCCAGTATCTTTGAACACCCAGCTGCAGAATTTAAGAACTTCAAACGAATTCAGAATAATAATTCAGTTGATTTAACTGTAAAAAATCTCCCCCATGCAAAATTACACATAAGCCATAGAAAAGAATTAGCAGACCTTGTCTGGCAGCCTTGGAAGTCAAGGAACGAGGCAAAACCTTCCAACTGAACACCTGACGAGAAAGCCTACCACCCCTCCACCAAAACATTCCTAATCCACTGGCAGCATTTGAAGTGGGGGTGGGCTCAGTATCTGAACACTTGGGCCTCTTTCTGTTAATAACATTCTTTGAGTATGCACGTAAAGAAGTCACAACATGAGAAGCTGAACCCATGGTAACAACAGAATCTACATGTTTCAACCAGTCTGCTGAAAGTGCAAGATGATGCAGATTTGCCTCTAACTGTGTCATGCATACAACCAAAAATAAGAGGGCATCAAAGAAAAAAATCAAGATAGCCACGCAAGTTATGGAAATACAAAAGCCTCTTTGCAATCAAACAATGAGCTATTTTACAATAAATACACATAACTAACAAACACATTTTTTTCTTTTGTATTTTTGTTTTTGAAGTACACAAAGATATTTGAATTTTTATACATTATACAAATTTGTGCACACCGTACATGAATATAATGCACTAGGGTTTCCAAATGATGGTTAATGAGTATTTTGAGAAGAAAACAAAACCAGAAAAGCAGGGAGAAGT